AGCTTGGAGTGAGGATGATGTAGACTAACTTTTATTTAAGACTTATTAAAAATATATAAGATTATCACTTGGTTTTGGTTTTGTGGTGTAGTTTATTTTATAAGCAATTGAGTTAATAGAGTACTAGGGATACTCAATTTAAAAGGATAAAAGTTAATACAAATTTAAGTATAATAAATAAGCTTTACTCCAATTATAGAAATTTGAATAACCTATACCGTTCAAACCTAATACATGCCAAAACCAAACTGCAAGTTTGGTATTGAAAATCACATCTCCCACATTCGATCTGAGTTCGGATGAAGTCATAATTTTTAGGATTGATTTTATGTGTTTTTTATTGTATTATACTCACATTTATTAATTAAATGTGAAATATTAGAATTTTATGTCTTTTAATATTTTAATATTAACTTGTTCGAGTAAAGCCATAATTTTTAGGATTGGTTTTACGTTTTTTTTTTATTGTATTATACTTATATTTATTAATTAAATGTGAAATATTAGAATTTAAACTGAACTTGAGAGGAGTACACTCTTAAGACTCAAGTCTCCACCACTAGGTCAACCCACATTCATTTGGCCCACTTCAAATAGGAGTGATTTTCCAATAAACTCCCCCGATCGACTAGTTGGACAACACCAATCCTGCTACCGTGCGACAAAACTCAAACTTTCCCCTAAGAAACACCTTCATCAACAAATTCAAACATTTGTCCTCAGTGTGAATCTTCTCAAGCTTCATCAACTCGTAATTTAATGGATCACGAATTCGATGATAACGAACATCAATATACTTCGACCTCGAGTGAACTGATGAATTTTGTGATAAGTGAATGACACTTTGATTATCACAAAATAAGACATACTTTTCTTGTTTCACACCAAGTTCCATTTCAAATTTTCTCAACCATAACAAATCTTTTGACGCTTCCACGATGTCGGCTATAGACTCAGCTTCGATAGTAGATAGTGCAACACACTTTTGCAACTTTGATTGCCAAGCCACGACTCCCCCGGCAAAAGTCACCATATACCCCGAAGTATATTTTCGATCATCTAAGCCTTCGGCTAGGTCCGAATCCATTTACCCAACAAACATAGGCTTCTTGCATCTAAATGTTAGCTTCAAATTTGACGAGTCACGTAAATATCTCATCACCCACTTCACAACCTCCCAATGATCTTTTCCTGGATTTGAGAGATAACGATTCACCATTCCTATGACATGAGAAATATCGGGTCTTGTACAAACCATATAATACATCAAACTACCAATGACCGATGTGTATAAAATGTTCTTCATTCTCAACTTTTCTTCATCCGTAGATGGACATAGTTTATGACTAAGATTGAAATGAGAAGTAAGTGGAATGATCACCACTTTAGCCTTATCCATACTAAAATGCCAAAGGAATTTCTCCACATACATTTCTTGTGACAAGTACAACTTATTCTCATTTAGATAAGGAATTTCTCCACATACATTTCTTGTGACAAGTACAACTTATTCTCATCCTAAATTCTTCATAGCAAAAGATTCACTCAAAGTTTTCTTCAACTCCTTAATTCATGAAATATCCTTTCCAAAAATTAGCATATCATACACATAAAGCAAGAGAATAATGAAATCAACTTCGGAGAAATTCCAAAAAAAGACACAATGATCGACCTCGGTCATCTTGTACCCATGTTCAATCATCACCTACTTGAACTTTTGATACCATTGGCGAGGTGCTTGTTTCAAACCATAAAGACTCTTTACCAATTTGCAAACATATTCTTCTTTTCCCTTATTTCGGAATCCATTTGGTTGCTCCATATAAATTTCTTCATGTAGATCACCATGAACGAAAGTTCTCTTCGCGTCCATTTGATCTACTTCCAAATCAAGACTAGTGGTTAGCTCAAGAACCACTCGAATAGATTGCATCTTCACAACTAGAGATAAAAACTCGCCAAATTCAATACCTTTCCGTTGTTTAAAACCTTTTACCACCAAGCGAGGCTTGTATCTTCTTTCAGAAGTACACTTATCTTGCTTAATTCGATAAACCCATATATTATTCAATGCTCTCTTACCCTTCGAAAACTTCACTAAGTCAAAGGTATTATTATCACTAACTGATTGCATTTCATTTCATCCTCCATGGCATCCATCCATTCCTTTTTGTTCTCATCCTTCAAAATTTCTTCAAAGCTTTCGGGTTCTCCACCATCAGTAAGAAAAACATAGTCGTTTGAGGGGTATTGAACGAAAGGCCTTTTATCACGAGTAGGACGCCTCAACTCATTAGAAACAACTGGTTGCTCAACACTTTCAACCTCTTGACCAACCTCATTTTCAAAAATGTCTTACGTAGCACCTGCATCAAAATATTATTAGAATTTTTAAAACATTATCAACATTCAAATCCATACCTTGACTTTCAATTGGAACATCTTCGAAAGTGATAAGGGTAGGAGTAATAGTAGTCGACTTCGTATCAACCATTTCTTCATCTTCAAAAATTGAATATTTATTCTTAACTTTGTCGATGTCCTCAATGGTATAACCCTCCAAGAATAAGACATCACGACTACGAATAAGCTTCCGTTGAACCGAAACAAAGAATCGATACCCAAACTCATTATGACCATACCCAAAAAACACACATTTCTTTGACTTCTCATCCAATTCTGATCTCTTATCCTTCGGAATATGCATATAAGTCATGCACTCAAACACCCGAAGAAGGTCGTAGGAAACATCTTTACCACATCAAATATAATTTGGAACATCAAACTTTAAAGGAACACTTGGAGTGAGGTTTAAAATATGTACAACTGTGCTCAACGTTTCTCCCCAAAAGTATTTCAACAACTTTGATTGATAAAGTAAACATCTCACCCTTTCCACCAAATTTCTATTCATTCTTTTGGCTAACCCATTCAATATTGGTGTCTTTGGAGGATATTTTTGATGACGTATATCTTGATCTTGACAATACTTGTCAAAAAGTCTAACACACTCTCCCCCATTATCGGCTCGAATACACTTGAGTTTTTTCTCCGTTTCTCTTTCAACCGGTGCTTGAAACGACTAGAAGATATCTAACACTTGATCTTTCGTCTTCAAGGCATAAGCCATGTTTTCCAAGAATAATCATCAATTAAAGTCACAAAGTAATATGCACCACCACAAGAGATCGTGTCTTGATCGAACCACACACATTGTAATGTACTAAATCCAACATTTTTTTTCAATAAATAAAAATACTGTGTTGAATTACAATACAATATTAATTTCTAATATATATATATATATATATATATATATATATATATATATATATATATATATATATATATATATATATATATATATATATATATATATATATATATATATATATATATATATATATATATATATATATATATACACTAGAAACTTTGTCTTTACTGACTATTTTTAGTGACTGAAAAGGATTAAGAATCAGTAACTATATGGTTTAGCGACTAATAAAGCGACTATCATTTTTCAATTGTAAAAGTTCTAGCAGTTAACCATTGGCTACATAATCCATGACTGATAATAGCGACCGTTTTTGAGACAGCTTTAGCAATTGAAATTGTGACCGATTTTAGTAACTAATATTGTGACCAGAATTATGTTTAGTGACATATATAAATAATTTTTCATTCATTTTTTACAAAAGAATTTACATTTAAATAATTATTTTAATATTATTACAGTCACTGAATCGCTCTCTATTATTTTAATTTTTTAATAAATATCTTCTAAACAATAAAACTAATTTTTTTTATCTCTGAAATATATTTTGTATAATTGAAAACAATTAAATATAATAATTATTTTTAAATACTTAAAAAATATAACCAAAAAACACATTTTAAAATCTTACTAAATACTCGTCAATAAATTTAAACAAAGGAATATAAATAAAGGATTTTTAATATATTCAATAAATAATACAAATAATTATGGTATTTCAAATTATTTCTATATACACAGTATGAATCCAACATACATAAGACATGTGCTATGATAAGTTTTCAATGGATCAAATAGAAGCAACATGATAATACTGTCTAACAATAGGTATACGTAGCCTTGTTAATTATCTTAAAATACACATAGTGAGATATATATATATATATATATATATATATATATATATATATATATATATATATATATATATATATATATATATATATATATATATATATATATATATATATATATATATATATATATATATATATATATATATATATATATATATATATATATATATATATATATATATATATATATATATATATATATATATATATATATATATATATATATATATATATATATATATATATATATATATATATATATATATATATATATATATATATATATATATATATATATATATATATATATATATATATATATATATATATATATATATATATATATATATATATATATATATATATAAATGCACATATTGATTTATATATAACCGGATTATCTTAAAATATATATATTGATCTTTAGGTAAAGAAGAAAAAGGTGATGATATACATGCAATTAGTTAAAAATATATAAGTGATATATATCTTATTATTCACTATTTTATTTTTTCTTTGAGTGGGCTGAAAACCAAGGTTTTGATAAAGTCGTTATTTTATTTTTTTATTTAAAAAAGAAATAATTTATTATCATAGTGTTCAAAATTATCTGAGAAAAATAGTGACACAATTTTAATTATAAACGAATATATGTCTTTCATGTATTGATTATGAACACTCAAAGAATTGTCAACTCATCAACTCACATCAAACCTTAGTGATTTGCGTGATACTCTCATGTTAATCAATCAGAATGCAAACACAACAAATATATATTTTGGATGCTACGTTGCGAATGACAAATATTTATAATGAAAACATTAAGATTGAAAAACAAATTTATATTTGTAGATTCAAATAAAAATATGAAAAATTAAAAAAATTTATATTTTAATAAAATAAGGGATATATATATATATATATATATATATATATATATATATATATATATATATATATATATATATATATATATATATATATATATATATATATATATATATATATATATATATATATATATATATATATATATATATATATATATATATATATATATATATATATATATATATATATATATATATATATATATATATATATCACCTCCTCAACATCCTCCTTGGTTAATAGGTTATCCTACAAACTCACACTAGTTTTTTTACACTAAAAACACCTTTCATACTCTCACTGTAAATTTTTTGTGGTGTTTGTTACTCTCTCATTTTATTTACTAGAAACACTCTGTTTTTCTGCGGATTTTGATAAAATTTTTGCAGAAAACGTGTTACCTGCGATTCTTCCTACTATTTTTATTTACAGCTAAAACCTTCATGGATAATTAATATAGCAGGTGAAGTCGCAGGAAAATGTCGCAGGAAAAAATCGCAGGTAAAATAGATAATTTTGTTGATAACAACGCAGGTAAATGAAGCCTTCATGGGTAATTAATATAGCAGGTGAAGTCGTAGGAAAATGTCGCAGAAAAAAATCGTAGGTAAAATAGATAAATTTGTTGATAACAACGCAGGTAAATGAAGTTTTTGCAGGAAGTGTCGTAGCAAACTAAAATCCACAGGTAAAATCGCAGGTAGTTCTCTCTCATGTTTTTAATTTTTGTTGTTAATTTTGTTTAATTTATATTTAAAATATTATAATTATTGTTAAATATAATAATATAAAATCCTTACTTCTTTTTGTAATTTCATAAGAGCACTTTAAACAACAAATGGTTAAAAAACAAACAAAATATAAATCTAGTGTAAGGCTTGAACCTAACCTTTATTCAAATAGCAATGGTAATTTTTAATTTAACAAGTTCACCTAATCTCAAGGAACCTTCTTTATTATCCTTAACAAGAGTTACTATAAAATCAAGCCACATACAGCTACTTCAACCGAAGATTTACATTTTCTACATGGCAGAATAGAGGAAATCAAACTGAAGATGTTTTATGATTGCTTGTGATTGAAGGGAGGATTTGAACTGGATCATCAATCATTGCAGCTGCAAAGCCTCCAAAGTAAGCATTCATATCAAGCAGATTACGGAACCTGCTAGCTGATAATCTAGTATCTTGTAGTATGCACATGACTCATGGCTGCTTTCATCATGTTAAAAGCAACTTCAGAGCATTCATGGCTGCTTCACAAGAAAGTGTGAAAAATTAAAGCAACTGCTAATCACTATTCTTCATGCAAACATTCCTATCTCCATATCAACTGCTTAACACAGTGGGAAAGTCTGCAACTAGTAGAATCTTCTCACGAACTGACTTACTCCCAGTTTCCTATCTTCGAAACTGTCAGCTACTGCTTGATTGGATATGCCATCACCATCACCATTAAAATCTAACATGTTTAGAATAAAAATCATTAACTAAAACACCCTTTAAGTTTTCAGTTATAAAAGCACATGACTCAAACAAAATATTATGTAGGCAATTTCGGACCAGGAACTCCCTTTACAGAACAGTCATAGTTTGGATCCTGATATTCAAAACAGTTCTGCATTAGGTTTGTTTTCTCCTTCCATGAAGGCACCTCAATGAATGTTGCAAAGAAATTGTGTACACCGTCCCTCAGTTGCTGAATATAGCTGTTCTTGGATCAAAAGTTTAACAAATTTGTTAAAACCAAAAATTATATAAACTAAACTTAAAAATGGAATAACAACTCACGCATGTTGATCTGTGCTTCCTTTATTTCCATAGACACTAAGTCCTTGATTAACCTGTGAAATAAAAAATTCAGACTTGGATATAACATTCATGACAGTTTGAAATGTTTAAAAGTTAAAAAGTATTAGTAGCTGTGAGATAGCATGTAGCATCATGAAACATCCACCATCGTATGATGTAGATACAAACTAGACACATTATCAACATGTTTATTAAAAGCTAATGATATCCCATGTATAATGCAGGAAGGTGAACTTAAAACGAGTCCATATTAAGACAATAACAACCAATTGGAAAACTATAGGCTTTAAAGCTCCATTCAACAGTGTCTTGATACAAGGCAATTGTAAGCTGATTAAAAAATTAAAAGAAAATCTAGCAATTCATCCAAAATGCAGGACAAAATATACAAATAATGAGGGACAGATTTGCTAAATGTGCCACACATACCCGATTACCATCCAAGTCATATTCCTTGCCCAGAGATTCCATGACTAGTTGCTGCAAGTATCTACTAAATAATAACAGGTTGTCCTTATACGGAAGGATAACCATGTCCTTAGAGTAGAAAGAAAGAAAAGAACACAATTAGCAATAGTAACAAAACAGAAGATGAAACAGAAGCTCACTAATGATCCATAAACTATATAATTCGTACCTTGGATCCTACACCATCTGTAGCCCAATACCAACATAAACTATATATACGGAAGGACACCGACACGGAAATACCATCAATAATTTGAAAAATGAATAAATTAAGGGTAATTAGAGTGTTGGTGTAGGTGGAACGCGTAAATTCTCAAGCTTCTTCTGCAGTTCACAACCAAGACTGCGATGGGAGAAGCAACATGTGGAATGGAAGAAGCTATTCTTTAACTAACATACTAAAGAAAATGGCGATGAAAAGTACAGCCAACAAAAACAAAGGCATTCAGACATTATTTAGTGACCAAATGTCATGGCAATACACTACTATCTTTCTGCATTAAAACTTAACCAAAACCCAAATCATCGCCCACTGATGAGGTAAAAGGAAATCATATTTATTCAGAGTACTAAACACAAGTTCAAAGCATTGATTACAAAATACAGAATCATAACTCAACATAAATTTCCGAAGCTGCTTCCAAAGCAGCATATCAATTCCTACTTACGAATTTCAGTTCTTCTTCACAGTGGCAGAGTTGATGATGTCAACGAACTCCGGCTTCAAGGAAGCACCACCAACCAAAAATCCATCAATGTCAGCCTGTGATGCCAATTCTTTGCCGTTTCCTCCATTTACAGAGCCTGCAGTTTTAGATGGAGTTAATTAAATAACAATTGCTACAATGCCTCCAAACTCACACCAAGACTGTTAATATTCTTTGATGACATCAAAATAACCGCATATATAAACAGAAGTACCTCCATAGATGATTCTTAGAGAGGCGGCAACTTCAGCACCCACGTTGTCGTGAACCCATTTTCTTAAAGCAGCGTGGACCTAGGCCAAATATTAATAACATTATCAAGACAATACAATCTACAAGTTACTTCAAAAAACAAAAAAAAGAAGAGATTGAGCAACCAGATAGCAGAAAAAACGATTTAACAGTAAAAATTTTAGGGATCAGTACTACGCAAAGCAATCACGGATTATCAACATAGTCTGATGATTATGATTGATGGACAGTGTAAACAAAATTCACACTGCACAGCGATGTAAGCATACCTCTTGTGCCTGAGCAGGAGTTGCAACCTTTCCTGTTCCAATGTCCCAAACTGGCTCATAGGCCAAAACAACATTATCCCAGTTTGATACTTTCTCTGCAATTAGAATTGAAGACAGCAACAATGTTATTGCCAGCAAATTAGTATGTGACAAAATAAATTAATTAATGGAAATCTGTTGATGCAATTGGAGAAGTATTTTTAGCGAGAATTCCGTCTCACGTAGAGAAACAAGTTGGAAAAAGAGAGGTTGTGAACATAAGAGTACCTGCAATTGCCTTTGTTTGCTCAGAAACACAAGCAAGAGTAGTACCAGCTTCACGCTGCTCAAGAGTCTCCCCAATGCAAGCAATAACTTTCCTCCCTAGTGAGAGTGCATATGCAACTTTGTCTCCCACAAACTGCAGCAGATCATAAATCAGTAGAAAATTGGAAGTTTTGATAGTAGAATTTAATCTTCATCAAATACAACTATGCAAAGTAGAAGTTATAACACAACTAGCACAATAAAAGCCAAAGGACTAAAAGTTATGTACCTCATTTGTTTCATTTAGAAGCTGCCTTCGCTCGGAGTGGCCAAGAATAACCCAAGGGATATCCAAATTTACAAGCATCTCAACACTGTTTAAAGAAAAAACACATTAAATAATTGGTAGAAACTTCAAAATTATGCCACGCTATTAGTAAACAAAGAATCAGACAGTTCTGTTACATGGTTCTAGTTCTGCCAAATATGGAACAACAAAACCCAGTGGCCATAAAAACTACAAGCAAAGCACCAAAATGAATTAAAGAGCCAAGTACAAATAACATACATAATCTCCCCGGTATAAGCACCACCTTTGCGAACCCAACTGTTTTGAGCAGCAACATGGAAGTCAGAGCGAAGTAAACTTTTCACGAAGGTAAGGAACACATAAAGGGGGCTCACAACAACTTCTATAAAACCAAAAACACATTTGTTAGCATTAACTAATATGAAGAACTTTAAACAGTTAGATACACAAGGAAAGGTAGAACGGCTTCGACCAAAGAATTGCATTTGCAGACAGATCATAACGGAAGACCAAAATAGTATCTCGAGGGAAATCACTTCCAAGTTCCAACGCACACTATAAGCAGCACCCAAATAAGAGTTGCACCCATTGTTGTTCAATCCTTAACTACATCCCCACAGCCTAAAACTTATGTATTAGTCAAAAGGTAACGACTCCATCCATATGCGTTAAAGCTCCCTTTCAATCTTGAATATGTTTTCAACCGGCTGATTCTAGGGAAGGAACTACTTGTAATAAGTTTTTTAGACTTGGAGGAGGATAGTTTGCATCCCTATTCTAAGTGAACATTATCCAAAGCAACAAGAAAATCATAATTATATAGATTTATAAAGGCGTCTTCAACAAAGGTTTTAAACCGTGATCCCATCTCATTCCTTGATATTAACTGCAACTACATATCACAGCCAAATCTTGGTTACGAATCTTTACTGAAAACTCTATTATTGACCAAAGAATACATTTCATTCGAAGTTTTGAAAACCATGCCCCAATTTGACCGCAATTTAAACCATATTAATCACACTACATTTGGCAACAATTCTACACTCGACAAAACCACAATTTAAAACATGAATTCCTAAATCCAAAAAATAATAAAATTTAAAAGCAAAGGCTTAGAAGCATACTCATGCCCCGCAGAAGCAGCAAGCTAAAGACCTTTAAACAACACTTGTTTCTGAGGTTGAATAGCTCCAAGAAGTTGATAACACTGACTCAACAAACTATAAGCTCTACACTTTAATTCAAAACATCTAGGTATAGACTTCAAAAGCAATTGCTACAACAACAGCATCAACAACAACGAAAAATCAATTAAAAATAAGTTAATCGAACGAAATTGAGGGATTGAGAAGATACTAACGGCACGTTCGAGGTGAGATTTAGCGTGATTAGCGTTGTGAGAATGATGAAGAAGGATTGAAGCGATTCGAAGACGGGTTTTGACTTCGACAATTGGGGAAAACGAAACCTCGCTTTGGCAAATTGCTTCTAGACATTTTATGGATTTTGCGATTTCGCCGCGATTTTCGTGATAGTTTGATAAACCCCATAGTCCTTCTGCTACTTCTTCCATTGATTTTTTTTTTGTTTACTGTAACCCCTTTTCTCAAGGATCTCTTAAATTTCAACTCATATTTGACAATTTGATATCTTAGTTTTCAATTTCAACAGTGGTTTTTAAATTTTTTTTTAATTTGTTTAAGGCTAGAAAATAGAGTCAACAGTCAACTGTGGTAGAATAAAAAAAGAAAAAGAAAAATGTTTGGTTTTTGTTTCTTGTGCATATGTGTGTGTGTTCACACCCTAGCTTTCGTAATATCATTTTAATTTTATAAATATTTTAATTTAAAATTAAAAAAATTCACAATTCACATTAAAAATAATTAATAAAATAAAACAAATAGAGACTAAAAATATCATTTTAATTTTACATATATTTTTCAAAAAATTTTGCAACAACTATAAAATCTTTAAAAATGTCTTAAATAAGAATAATTTATACTAAAATTATCTTAAAGAAAATAAATCTAAAAAATAAATAAAAAATAAATTTTGACAAAATTTAAACAAAAACTATTATTATTCAATAAAGAAAAAAAATTATTGTAAAAATTATTTTAAAATAGGTTTGTTTTTATATTTTATATATATATATATATATATATATATATATATATATATATATATATATATATATATATATATATATATATATATATATATATATATATATATATATATATATATATATATATATATATATATATATATATATATATATATATATATATATATATATATATATATATATATATATATATATATATATATATATATATATATATATATATATATATATATATATATATATATATATATATAAATCTAAAAAATCATTATGTCAATTATATTTTACAATTTTATTTAATAATAGTAAAAATATAATTAAATAAATAAATTTATATTTTTACAATTATATCATAAACTTATATTTTTATAATTATATCATAAACTTATATTTTTTATTTTTAAAATTTTTAGAACAATAAAAAATTATTAAATAAATAAACTTATATTTTACAATTATATCATAAACTTATATTTTTTTATTTTTCTAATTTTTACAACAATAAAAAGTATTAAATAAATAAATTTTCTTTAAAAAAAAACTAAAAAAACTAAATTAATATTATAAAAATTTGTTAAGAAAAATTAAGATTTAATATAAAATTAAAAAATGTCTGAACAATATATTTTTGTTTTATAATTTAATTTATTAATAGTAAAAACATAATAAAAATAAAAATATAATAAACCATTGCAGAAACATTTACAGCAAATTCCGCAGCAAAAGCTAATTCCTGCGAATCGTATCGCAGTAAAATCCGCAGGAAATTATATTTTACTTTAAATTCTAAAATCGCAGCTAAAGTCTCAGGAATTCCTGCGGAATTTGCTGCTACTTTAATTTTCGAAGTAAATAATATTTCACAATAAAAAGGGGCAGGTGAAATCGTGGATATAGCTGCGGAACTCTTTCCAAAGGAAAATCCGCAGGTAATCTACATCTAAAAGTAAATTACTGTTTCGCTCTACATTGTGTGATTTTGATTATCCTTAGAATTTATAAATATTATGAGTTATTGAATCGTTAAATATTTATTTATCGATGTGTCACCTTTGATAAAAAATAATATATTTATGTTTTCTCCCTAAATGTTGCTCCAACCTCTAATTGTGAATTTTTGATACAAGCCACATACATTTTTAAAACTTGGATCCAACCTATATTCTTGTCAAAAACACTACTACTGTTGGTGCAAAGGTAGAATAAATGATGAAAAGAGAAATATTCTATTAAGAGAATGACGGCTACACACACTCACACAAATTGCAATGATTGTTATCCTATTTATAAGCTAACACTAGGGTTACTAGAATAAGATAAAAATACTAAAATACCCTCTAATAAACTTAGGGTCTAAGAAAATAGTACAACTAATAATTATGAATTACTTCTAATACCATCCCTTAATTCATATTCCATCAAAACATGTAACACCAATTCCATCCATTAGTCTGAGAAATTGATCAGTCTTGATAGCTTTCGTCAGAGCATCTGCCAACTGTTTATGAGTGCTGCAGTGTACAACTTCTAACACTTCACTCTGAACTTGATGTCTCAGAAAATGATACTTGGTCTCAATATGCTTGCTTCTCCCATGCAACACTGGGTTTCTGACAAGATTGATTGCAGGCTTGTTGTCAATCATCAGCTTCAGAGGTTTGTTTATTTTAATCTTCAGATCTTACAACAGATTCAGAATCCACACAGCTTGGCATGCAGTAACAGCACCTGCAATGTATTCAGCTTCACAGGTTGATAACGCCACAACAGGTTGCTTCTTGGAACACCAAGAAATGGGACCTCCCAGAAATTTGAACAAGTATCCAGAGGTACTTCTTCTGTCAACTCTGTTTCCACACCAATTAGAATCTGAATAACTCAGAAGTTCTGACTCATCCTTTCTTCCAGAAGGAAACAACACTCCATACTTCAGAGTTCCCTTGATATACCTCAGAATCCTGACAGCAGCTTGGTAATGGGACCGCTTAGGTTTACTCATGAACATACTAACCATCCCAACAAAATAGCAAATATCAGGTCTGGTATTGCACAGATACCTCAGAGAACCAACCAATTGTTTGAATATTGTAGCGTCCACATCCTTTCCATCAGAGTCAGAATCCAGTTTCTAATTTGTATCTGAAGGTGTGACAACAATCTTACAATTCTTCAGTTCAAATCTCTTCAAAAGTTCTAATTCATACTTGAGCTGATGCAAAATGATACCTTTCTCAGAATATCTGAACTCCATCCCTAGAAAGTATGTCATTTTGCCTAGATCAGTCATTTTAAATTCATTCATCAGAACTTTCTTGAACTTGGCTATCTCCTGTTCAGAACTTTCAGTCAATAGTATATCATCAACATATAAACATACCAGAGTCATATTGCCTTCAGAAGTATGTTGAACATAGACACCGTACTCCATCTCACATTTCTGAAAGCCTTGCTTCTTGAAAAATGAATCAATCTTCTGATTCCAAGCTCTGGGCGCTTGTTTCAGTCCATATAGAGCTTTGTATAATCTGTACACCATCCCTTCCTGATTCTTTTTCACAAATCCAGGAGGTTGTGACACATAAACTTATTCTTCTAATGGACCATTCAGAAATGCAGATTTTACATCTAAATGCATCAGATGCCAATTCCTGTTAGCAGCTATTGCAATCACCATTCTGATTGTTTCATGTCTTGCTGCAGGTGCAAACACTTCAGAATAATCCAGCCCAGGTTTCTGTAGAAATCCTCTGGCTACCAACCTTGCTTTATATTTGCCAATTGAACCATCTGGCTTTAACTTCTGCTTGAAAACCCATCTGAAGTTGATGGCTTTCTTGTCTTTTGGAAGTTCTGTCAGCTTCCAAGTCTTGTTTCTCTCTATAGCATCAGATTCTTCTTTCATGGCCTTCAGCCAGAGCTTCTGCTTAAGAGCCTCTTCTGTACTTATGGGTTCAGAGTCTACTATCATGGCACACTGAATAACTTCTCCTTCAGAGTCTACTTCAGTGTCTTGCAGCATGTCAAATTCTGCATATCTTCTGGGAATGTTTCTGATTCTTTGTGGTCTCTGAACTTATTCAGAGTCTTAAGCTTCAGATGATTGACTTTCTCCAGAGCTTTGACCATCTTCAGGGTCTGGCATATTTCCAGAGTTTTGAACTTCAGAATTTCAAGCTTCAGAGGCTTGACTTCCTCCAGAGCCTTGGCCATCTTCAGAGTCTGAATTGCCACCAGAATCTGGATTACCATCAGAGTCTGGATCATCAAAGTCACCTTTATCTTCTGAGTCTTCTCCAGAGTCAGAATCATTATCAGAGTCAGAATCAACGTCAGAGTTTACTCCAACTTCAGAAATTCTTAATTCTGACCTTTCTTCGGAAGTTCTAACATCAAAATCAGATTGAGACTTATCCCAATTCCAAACTTCTGGTTCCTTCACAATCACATCTCTGTTGAATTCAATTTTATTGGTTTCTGGACAATAGAGCTTGTATGCACCTGTACTGTGGTACCCTATCAGAATCATCACTTTGCTTCTATCATCCAGCTTCTGTCTTCTGCCTTCTGGAACATGTTTATAGCAAACAGAACCAAACACTTTCAGATGACTAACACTTTGCTTATCTCCAGTCCACTTTTGTATTGGAACTATTTCCTTCAACTTCTTCGTAGGAAATCTGTTGAGTACATACGTTGCAGTGGCAACAGCTTCTCCCCAGAGCTTCTGAGGAAGCTTCTTCTCCTTTAGCATGCTTCTCACCATATCAAGCAAAATGCGGTTTCTTCTTTCAGCAAGACCATTGTGTTGAGGGGTATAAGGAGCAGTAACCTCATGCTCAATTCCATTCTCCTCACAGAACTTCTGGAACTCTTTGGAGTTATACTCACCTCCACCATCAGTTCTAAGAATCTTCAACTTCTGACCACTCTGATTCTCAGCCTTCATTCTGAACTTCTTGAATTCATCAAACACCTCATGTTTAAACTTAATAAGGGATACCCATGTCATTCTTGTGAATTCATCAACAAACAACACAAAGTATTTATTCCCTCCAATTGATGCTACTGGAAATGGACCACACACATCAGAATGTACAACTCCCAAGGCATGTTTTGCTCTTGGGGCAACTTCTGACGCAAATGGCAATCGTGGTTGTTTTCCTTCCATGCAAACTTTGCATGACTTTTCAGGCTTCTTAATTGCAGGAATTCCATGTACCAACTTCTTTGAATTCAGATGTTTTAAGCTTCTGAAATTCAAATGACCAAATCTTCTGTGCCACAACTCACTCTCCTTCTCAGCACTTGTTGCACTAAGACATTCTGAGTCTGCAGTTCTGACATTCACCTTGAATGTTCTATTCCTTCCCTGTTCTGACTCCATAATCAACTTTTGATTGCAGTCATACAGCTTCAGAAGATTGTCCTTCATGGTAACTGAAAAA